GATGTAAAACGCCTTCAGGTTCTGCATAAGGGGGAGTGGACGACGGCGCCACTTGACCAGCGACCGGAATACTTCCTCGTTCGCAATGGGATTGCGAACGGGGATGCAAGACACCAGCATCGACTGCGGAAACTCCGCTCCGGGAAACCTGTCTAGCCGAACCAGCGCTTCCTCAACGATCCACTTCACTCCAATGTGGTGAAGTGGTAAGACCTCATCTTGAAAGTAGCCGACCATGCCTCCGTTGTTGAGGACATGTATTTCAGGAAGTCGTCCAAGTGCCATGAGTCAGTCTGCAAAAGCACAGCTGCAAAATGAACTCAGATGGTCGGTTCAGGGGTTACAACATACAGAACGAAGCGAATCTTTCGTATAGTTACATGTTACAGGTGGTAAAGAAACATGCGAACCTTATAGAACGTGGTTGTAGAAGCTGAAGCGGCATGCAATAGCGAAGGCTGTTGTGCTTCACCAATGCGGGGCTGAATGGGCCTGCAACGAAGATGTTTAGTTGTGTGAAGCTTTTATAGGAGGAGAAACGGAAGACGGAGCTGAGTTTAAATGGAGGACATTGCAGTGCATAGACTGAGTGGTTAACAGCAGTTTGGCCTCTATAATGATTCCTTTTCCGGACTACGGTTAACGAACCAAAGTTAGGTTAGTGCGATCATAAGTCACAGTTGCCATTGCATCTAAATTTTTATTTGGGATAAATACAAGAACCAAAACGCATGGATTTTTCTGAATTGCACTACTCCGCTGTAGAAGACCTGCTGTGGACGGGTTCGGTAGGGATATGAGAACAGAGGACCCATTAACGTAAACAGACATGTTATTACGAAAACAATAATAACAATGATTTTTCGAAGAAAATACCAGTCTTTTATGTGTTTCCGCCATTAAAACAACAGGGTACACGGATGTCCCTTCTACAAAAACATTTGGTCGAATAATAATGCAACCGTTTTCGAACAAAATAGCAGCTGGATGAAAAGCATTCCTCCATTACAACAAAAGAGTTCCCATTGTTCCATACACAAGAACAATGGAAGGGATTAAAAAAAACATTTTTTGAAAAAAACACCAGCTCTTATAGAATTCGGAGTATCGTCCACAGAAAAATAATTTTAGAAGGTTAAAAGACCAGCTCTTTAAGTAGTTCCTACTGCAGTAAGTGTTGACTACCCGTTTTCCCAAACACGTTATGAAGTTGGGATGACATAAAATGCCAGCCAGTTCTCGCATAAAACACCGGCCATACTTGGCTTTCCTCCATTCAAGTCAACAAATACGTTTCCTAATCTAGGTCGAATGGGGCCATGCAAGAGACATTTTTTTTTATCAGTTACTGTATCTTTTGCTCTCTATGTTGGATGGGAGCCTATGGAAGCGGTAGTACGAGTTAGTGGGTTAATAAGACCCAACTAGGTTCAACAACTGGTGTAAGGCACAGCTGTTTTATTTTTTAAGGCCGCATAAAATTTGGCTCCGGTGATCATACGAGCCACATGGCTTACAAGGAGCTCATGTTAGACAGCAAAATTGCCTCGCTTTGTGTGTGCGGTTGGAGAAGCCTTCACAATGGAGCTTATGACAAGACTGGCGCCAGTCTTGCTTATTAGACAAGCCTTGACAGAGTTGTACGGTTGGCAGATGAAGAACGGTCGAACGTCAAAGTTGGCCCAGCTTTAACTCACATTCCAATGTCAGATTTCTTAGTTTTTCAATGACTACTGAGCATGGCCCTTCACATATGCTTTGGGGTGGAACACTGGCGCCTGGCGGACGAAATCGCCATTGGACTATGGCGAAAGGACGAAACCATTTCCCCCCCTTCAAATTTAGTCCGATATTTACCCGCCATATGCACTGTGCAACACATCAGCAAATTCTTTTTCTTTACATTTGATAAACGCTAGTGCTAGTATTTCACATTTCGCGCCTTGTGCAGATTAGCGAAAGACTTAACGAGTTGGGTTCATTGGTGAAATGGGTTTCTGTAACACAGATGTTTGCAAGGGTAGAATGAGCGATGTTGTTCATTTTACTTTGTCATGGTCCCCAACGAGTTGACTCCGTAAATTGAAATTTACAAATTCGCCTGCTCAATCATTCAAAAAAAGTTTCATTATGCTCCTTAATTATCCAATTAACACGTCCTAGGCCCGGGATTGTATTGAAAATGCTATTGATAATTATACATCTTTTTATATTGTGGTACGGAATAATAAATAAAATATATATACAGAAAATTTGAAATAAGTGATGCATGACAAGCTTAAAAAAATGTAATGTATAATGATTTCGGGTCAACCCGTGCTGACCCGACATGACCGATTTACGAATTAAAACTAATTTAATAAACAGGTGTATTTTTCTTTTTTCGTTTATCATGGTACAACTCTCCTTAAATATGCGAAGTTGGTTTGAAGTTGACAAGTGGAAGGGTAAATAATAGGAAAGCATTGTCAAACTTATTTGTAACAGAAAAAACTTAGCTGTTAATATTTGTAGAAGTTAACTTAATCATCATAAATAAAAGAATATTGTTAAACTAGCAAATAAAAGGGAAATAATGTCATGCATTTAAAAGATCAACAAACATGGCAGTATTAAAATCCAAAGTAGTGCGTACAATAGTGTGATAAAACTAATATTGGTATGGAAAGAATTTAAAAATGGTACCATTAGAGAACATTATAGATCGGTACAGATAGATTATACACTCCATATTCAAAAAAGTAACATTATACTTTAAGAGAAAGATTCATATTTCTTCTACTTTTAATGTCTCTTTTGGGTATATACTATTTGATAATTTTTTTTGTCATTTTTTGCGTCTTCATCCGCAACATTTGCTTATTGGTTTTCTCACCTATTTCTTCCTCATCTGACTTTCTTTTTTGCCCAAAAGAGGTATGTGATGCTGTGAAAATTTTTCCCCAAATCTAAACAAACAATTTTTTAGTGTTTTATTTTTTATTTTTCCTGTCACTACTTTTTGATATTTTAATTTTTGGGAAAATAATAAACTAAGGTTGACAACAAGACGAGTGGTGATTACATGAACAATTTTTAGGCTAACAATGAAAGAATTGTAACTACTTTTCCCTCATAAAATAAATAACACCATTATGCAGAATCTTAACCATTTTTTTTAAAAATTGTTATTTGATAATAGGGTGCTAGTACTACAATAGAGGACAACAAAATCTAATAAATGAAAATCGAAGGTAAACGAGGATCAAGAAGAAAAAAATGATGCTTATTAAATTAAAAAATTATCATAATCTCTTAATTTATGGATAGGTAATTATATTTTAATTTATATAAAGTTTATTAATTGTGAAAATGGCTTACAAAATGGATAAGGTGGATGACGTGAAGAAATAATTGTTAGGGCTAGCGATTTAGAATTCGAAGATAATATTTTATATCTCTTCATTCAACATTTTGAATCACTAGCTTGTATCCATGATAGGTAGTTAATTTTCATGGTTTTACTTTTAGCAAATGATAGCTTCGACATAAAAGAAGTGCAAAATTATATGTCAGAATCTTTTACTTAAACTGGTTCTATATGACTTACTCTTATCCTTTTCTATTGCCCATAATGATAGATAATGTAATTAGAGTTTGAGCTGATTGTTAGGCATAGAAATGGACACGTCATTACTTTTTGGCTAAAGAAGTTAATCATATTTTGTTCATTTGACTAGCTAAAACAATTGCAGTTTTGAAAGGAATGCATTTGGCCGTGGAAGTTAGTATTGAGGCTTTCAGCTTAGAGTGTCACTCTACAAACTATTATTACAAAATTCAATTTTCATTAAGAACACATATTTGCAATCAAACTAATTGTTGGATTTCAAATTGCATATGTAGATTTACAAATATGCCAATTCATGTTTTCATTTAAACTTGCTATACATATTCTATAACTATTTCGTTAGATAATGTTTTCATCTATTTGTAATGCTATTAGACATGATTTAAATGGATAGATTAACTCGCTATTTCTCTCAAAAAACAAACAAAAATATGCAACTTTGTAATTTTTTTTTTTTATGTTGGAGATAGTGACAGGTTTTTTGTGGCTTTGTATATAGTTTCTAATTATTAAAATTTTGGAAACATTAGCGCTACTCTTCATTTAATTACAACTAAAACTATGCTACTATTAAACGGATAATGCACTCATAATGGATTCCCCATCTTTTCTGGGTTGGTATCATTACGTACACATAATATTGGTTAAAATTTCTTTTTCCAAATATGATATACTTGGGTTAACTTTATATATGAAATTTCTTTTCACAGCAAATTGTAATTGTTTTTATACTTATTATTTTTCCTATATTTCTATTCAATATGTACTTTAACATTTGTTGCTATGTATTTAACTAATGTTGTACACGTCCCTGGCTGTGCGTTGCACAGCCGAGTACCTCTACTATGAAATTATGTGGAATGTTATTTTGATTTCAAATATTAACCCGTGTCACATAGTAGTGTCATTGGAGCTGTGGCAACCCGTATTCGTTTATCGTCCGGACCATCCATTAAAGGTTGCTTTTCAATTTTAGCTGTTTTTAAATTCAAAATTTTTCATCTTTTCTTTCTAATCCCCGATTTCCCCCCTTGCTATAATGAAACGTTCGGAGACATTTAATTGCTTACGACGCGCAGGTTGGCCACCTGTTTCCTTAGGCGTCCAAGTAAAGCTGAAAGGCCAATGAAAACATGCTTAGCACACGCGCCGTCCGTCACTGTAACACATATTTCCCAATGTGCTACCCTACTTAGAAAGTACAAGGGCATTGCACGCCCAACCTGGCCACAGCCGTTCAAATTTCTCGCGAAGAAAGACGCCTACGCACCTACAAGGCCGCAACACTTAACGGCAAAGCTGTTCATAATCGCGGGTGGGGCGACAGGGATTTTGTTATAGGCTGCGCCGTCACAATATTCGTCCAAAATCCAACTCCAACAGCCGTGCGATGGGCAGGCTCCATCGCTACCGGCCACCGCGTGATGAAGAACACTCGCAAGAACTGCTGGTTGATCGGAAAAGCCACATATCACACATTTTCCTTGCACAGGGGGTAAATGTTGCAGAATCAATGTCCACAATTAATTGTGCTTATTTTGCCCTAACTCCTCATTTGGTTTATACATACATATAAATGTCTGAATTGGTTCTACATTAATGCACAGGAAGTCTATTCAATTTATCCTAGAGGGTCGTCAGTCGAAATTATGGAGTGGTGGAAGAGGCTGCCGCGTAAGGTGGCCGCCAAAGTTGTTAGTGCTGGGTTTGGGGATTTTCTGAGCCACTTGCCCCTAGCCGATAGGGATAGGAGGTTGCCTGTCGCACTTGCGGAGCGATGGTGGGACTCAACAAACTCCTTCCACTTGCCTTTCGGAGAGATGACACTGACACCCTTGGACTTCACCTGCATAACCGGTGTTGCAGTGGGCGGCTTGGCCATTCCGTGGGATTACAATGTTAGGGAAAATGCCAATTACATCAAGGAGCAATTGGGTTGGGTGCCAGCTTTTGCTTCTGCCGGTGCCATCAGAGTTACCGATATATTGTCATTCTACAAGGACAAGGCGATTGACGAGAACGACGACGTCCAACTGGCACATCTGACTAGAGCTTTCTTTCTACACATGCTTGGCCGCACTTTACTTAGCAACACGGCCGAAACAATTAACCTGTGCTGTCTGCCTGCGCTGGAGGACGTAGATCGTATAGGGGATTATAACTGGGGAGGGGCGGGGATGGCAACCTTGTACAGATTTATGTCCGCCGTCTCCCGACGCCTGACGAAAAGCCTTGGCGGCTACAGCTTCGTTTGGGAGGTAAGTCCAGAGTTGCCTTCACTCTGTGTCAATTCGACATTTCCATGTTCCGTTACATAAACTTTTCTGTCAGTTACTGTTCATCTCCAACGGTGGACATAATTTGTACGACCACGTGTAGGTGTGGGCTTATGAAATTCTTCAGTTAAGTCCGTATAAACTAAAACAGGACGAGAGGGACGTATTGCCCACAATGTGGCGATGGCGCTCGTGTAATAGAGCCAACCGACAATCACCGTCTACGGTCGAACATTTTCGCCGCGCAATTGACACCATTAACCCGGAAGACGTTAGTTCCCGTACTTAGAACATCCATTAGTTTCTACCGCTGTAGTGTTATTTTGATGTTATGAATTTGTTCCGCCTGTTGAACAAACCAAAGGTACTTACGCTTGTTAATTGTGTGTCATAGGTCAACTGGCTGCCCTTCCCTGCAATGGCATTGCCGAGTCGGTATCTCAAATCCAAGGAACTAACTGCAACGAGATTGCTTTTGGATGGCCCCATGGGAAGATTTTACTACCTGGGCGAGAGGGTTATTAGGCAGGTGTATGCAGGTGTATGTGCAAAGCAACCTCCCCATCGGCCATCAGATATGTACAGCACTGATACAATTTCGGGAAACAGGCTACATGATGTGCTTCATGGACTGCCCATTGCAAGCCTATACCCTGATCCCCCTCCATATGCTACGTATGACGAGTTTGTGCGCAGCAGGCTAATGAAACCAATGACTTCCTCCACGTTGGCACCCAGTGGGAAGGAGTGCGTAATTCATATGTGTGACCAGTTGCCATTAAGTGAGGCTACAACACCGTCACTGAAACATCCAATTAATTACCCTCCCTGGTCTGTTTTGTGCATACAAACTGATGGATCACTGGAGCAAGAGGGCATTCACAGAGTTGGTGGCGATGTAATAGGGTTGCCTCTTCCATGTGCTGTTGGTGATGTGGTATGGCATTCTTCGTATTGTACTTCACCCGCCATTTAATTTACGCAATTTGTGTTAATACACCCATTTGTTTCCGCTTAGGTGCCTAGACACTGGTACGAGGACCTGCTTGTTCAGTGCATGGGCCTGAGAAAGAAAGTCTTAGAAAAAAGTGCAGAAATATTTCGTTTGGCATCCAATGTGTCGGACAACTCACAAGTGCTGGACCAAAGGCTACGTCAAATACAGGTAATTTTGGAAACTGCATTCAAGCTCCAAAAGGCGACAGGGAAACGCTGCCTTCGCGGTGGAGTTGGTGGACGGGAATCATGTGTTTGTAAGCGTCCGAACACAAGTGCCGGGACGCAGACATTTACGGATGAGCTTGGTAGAGGCAAAGCTCACGAATGTCAGGGAATTCATAATGCCAAAGACTGAGCACCCATGGCCCCTAACCGCAAACAAGGTTGTGTAGCCGGAGGAATGAGTATGCAAACTACTTGGGAGTCCCCACCAACAAAGCCAAGCTGTGAGCAATCGCCACATGTGTTGTGTAATTCTGACAATTTTAAACTTTAACACAGAATATGTTAACAGTTGACAGATAATTCCCACAACTAATTTAGTCCTGTTCTTTTTTTTCGTCTGTCCCAGATTGTTCTTCACCTGCAATTGAAGTTTGCAGTGAAATTAAATATTTACAACAAAACAATTTAAATGGAACTTGTTGTTACTATAAATCTTTACATTTAATGCATTACATTTTTCCAACTTATTTATATCATGACACAAAAGCCTTTTGTATGAATGCAACACGATATATAAGCAGGGTTTCAATTCACTGCGCTAGTTAACCAATTTTTCATATATAAACAAATTTACTAAAATTAAAATAGCGTATTTCAAAGTTGCGCTTCTATTTCGAAGTCAATTACTCTTAAACAACTAGTACTTAACTCATATAATGGAACAAACCCGTAAAGAACTGGTATATTATAGCAAACAATTTATTTTGTTTACTTTAAAATGTTTCATTTATATTAAATAATTCAAAAAAGGTTAGTTTTCCTTTCGTAAACATGTCTCATTCCATTATTTCAATTGTATTTGCAAATTTTTAACTATTTAACAAAATACTTAAAATATTTATAATGAAATGTTCATACAAAACGTGGTACTTCATTCATGTAATACACAAATGCCATAAAGAGTTGGTACTTTATGGGACATTTCCTTTTTAAACTATTTTTGACTTATATTACGTAGATAACCTACCATTTTTTTGTTTCATAACAAATTACTGTACCAATTTTTAAAAATCGTGCCTTACTCCCTAATCCAGCTTTACTTCATGTATTACTCTCTAAGTTTGTGACATTGTTGTTAGGCTTCATTAATCACTGTAGATGTCTTTTTCTCCAACTAAATGGTAAATAATAAACCCCAACATCACTAATAAATCCCAACTTCATACCATATATTTGTAATTTTGGCCTTCATGATGTCAGCTAAGGGACCCAATAACTCAAAGGCAACGGAGGTCAGTCAAATTTTGACAACCTCAGGGGGTGCCACTGAAAGTGTCAGAAATCTCAGGGGAGGTTTCTTAAATTATCCCTAATAAATATATTACAAACCACATCGTAATTGATAGTTATTGGCTAATTAAATATATTAGTACAAATGTATTAGTAAAGTTACTCGAACTAATTAATAATTTCTATTAGTACATTTGTATAATTAGTAGTATAATTTATAATATTAATTATATTACATAAATTAATATACATATATACATATAACTGATAATACCATTGTTATTGGTGCACTGAAGAGACGCATAAGCATTGTGAGCAATGAAAGTAGATGGGGAGAAACAGATGTTACTGTTCCTACACCTGAATGGAACGATGGGCAAGAGAAAAGGCGTTGGGTCATTTCGGTCATTGGTTAGGATAGCAAGGAGAGGAACAAACGGCCCATATCGTAAAACCAGTTTATAGCAGCAGCGTAAGGCACCAGTTTACAAAAGCTGGGCAACTGAAGCTGATTCCCAAGTACCCACTAAGGAAACGTCTATCCCACCAAGAGATTTTGCGCAACATACGCTTCCACTTAATTTCCTATTTACAAAAAAGGAACAACTTTGGTTCCTCTAATAAACAATTTGTCAACTACTTACTCTCCTATTAACCTATAAACAAGAGTTACCGGCTTCTGAGGGTTGCTCGGGGTTAAGGTTCGTATAAACTGTCAAAAGGTCTTACTGGCTTGACAGAAAAAATATTAACCAAGTGCAGTAGCACTATTTGCTACGGCCAAAGTGCTTACGACGCAACCTTCGGTGGAACTACAATGACTTACCCATCGCCTAGCAACCTTCAATACTCTTCACCCCACCGATACATAACAAAAGACAATCCCTCAAGCCGGTGTTGCTCTGTAACCTGTCTGTCGTCACGGCTGCTACTTCCATGCACAACCATACCATCTCTTTCAACCTCTACATTTCACACATTGTATAAGAATATATAATAGGATTTACACACGCAACAGCAGTGAAATAAGAACAACAAAGCCATTTACCAACAGGTACTGCATCAGTACAATGACTGTTTACTACCTTTCAGTGGCTGTGGTCATAACAGCTTACAATGGCCCATGACACATTCAAACTTACATTATTTACACTTCAATGGTAACGGAATCAAATTTTTTTAAACACCACCACAACCTGTACCCAGCATACCCCACATTCACGAATACCTTATAGCCTTCTCATGCTCAAAACAAATTAATGCGAAGGAAAGATACAAACCGTTCCCCTTCTACAGTTTCGTACTTGTTTCATGGAAACACTACTGTTGCACCTCTACTCACCAAAACCTGCCTTATTTATTGCGTAACTGCAAACCGAAGCAAGGCCTCCAGTAGTGCCTCATCTTTCTCCTGGACTTCTTTGTTGGCCACCTGTGTCCCTTCCACCGCTACCCTGTGGTTGTGGTGGAAATGCTTGTCCTCTCCATTCGCCTGAGTCGCTCCAGCCCGTACCAATTTCAAATGATTTTTCCAGCGAGTCATCCAAACAATTTTCCATATAATCATCATGAACTGCTGTGTTGTGCGAATTCTTTTTGTATGGGCATGTTCGTTGGTTGTGCCCTGCCTGCAATCTTCTACCCATATATCACATGTCAAATAATTTGTGACTACAACTAATCACGTCAACTAAGCACAATGCTAACATTACACCACTTCAACTTTCTTGCATTGCCAATAGCTTTGGATGCACTTTTAATTATGTTTTTATTTGCTACTGTTGATAATAAGAACGAAAAATACCCACTTCTTCATTATTACCTTCACTGTCCACTTCATGTATTATATCAATTAACTACTGTATAACTACGTATGCAATTCCGATAGTACCTGCAATGACCACACTTTCTTTTCTTCTTTGCTTCTGCATGCTTGTGATCACCTTTACACCGTGACACCCTGGGGTCTAACAGCCCGAATGTTCTTCTACTTCTATCGTTCCTCACTCTTGAATCCATTGCAAATCCGTCTCCCCCATATCCCCTGTCAATCCACTTCTCCTTTAGGTCCACAGAATGCTTGTCAAACATCTGCTGCAGGTCATTAAACGCGTCATCCATGTAGGAGGCATAGTAACACATAGTATTACAGCTGGACTTTAAAGTGCCATATCTGGCCATTTGTGTCAGTTGTTCGTCTGCAACAAATGCGTTCATTCCATTATTAGTACAGTAAACTCCCTTTGTCCACCGCTTCGAAATGCATGCTTCTGGGATCCTGTTCATTCCTTCTACCACCATCACGCGAAACATGTGAGCACAAGGAATCCCCTTTGACTCGAATTTCATGCAAGAGCAGATTAGATTCTCCATTGACCTATCATAATCCACCTTCCAACTTATTCCGTGTCCACCATATTTCGAGTAATAATACGTACGACTCCCTCCATCCTCGCTCCAGCCCTCAGAAATTAGAAGTCCTTGCCTGTTCAAATGCTTCCTCACCATGAAAAACACATTCCTTGTAAACACCTCCGCTGCGCTCCACTCTAATTCGGGCAGGATTGTGGTTAAGACTGGTTTTGTGTTTTCGCTTGTGTGAATTGCTTTGCTCTCAGTATGTCGAAGCCATGCTATTGCCAAATCAAAACTTCTAACGAATTCATATAGTCGCATTTTTTCATTCAAGTACTCATTCAAAAAAGCATTCATTTTCTCACACCTTTGAGTACTTCTCATACCTGCAAAAAAATGACCGCGTAAATAGGCCTCTGCCCATAACCTTCTCCTACGGTACAACTTCTTCACCCACTCATTCTCTACCACCCCACATTCATTAACCAACCTAGCCCACCGATCCTCAAACTCAAGAGTGCTACACTTTCTCTCCATCAGGTTATACAACCTGTTATTAAACTCCTCGCAGCAAATATTACTCCGTGCATTTCTATGCAAGTGCCACGAACATAGCCTGTGACAAGCATCTGGGAGAAGATTCTTTATGGCTCTTCGCATTGCACTGTCCCCATCTGTCATCACTGCTACTGGCTTTCTACCTTTCATAGCCTCTACAAATGTACTTAGCACCCATTCATATGTTTCAATCCTCTCATCTGATAGCAGGGCACAGCCAAAAATAGTACTGTTCAAATGGTTGTTTACCCCTGCAAGTACAACTAGTGGCTTGCGGTATTTATTTGTTTTGTATGTTGTATCAAACACCAATACATCTCCAAATACACTGAAGTCCGCACGAGATTTAGAATCTGCCCAAAACAACCTTGCCAATCTTCCTTCGTTATCTACATGATATTTATAAAAGAACATC